TGTTGTAGGAAGGACGGAAGGTCTGTTCAAATGTTGACCCGTGAGACAGAAAAATCGCCCAAAAAGAGGGTCAGGCCGAACCCTAACTGTTCTTTTTTTTTCCCGCCTACATGATAGTATCCCTTCTCCGGAATACCCATGAGATTGATCGTATCGAAGCCGTCGCACATATTTGTACACATAGCAAACCCCTGCAACATGAACACCGCTCTTCTCTGAGAGTAGTTTTGTGAAGATCTCCAAGCTTGGGCGCCGCTGTTCGCCGGCACGCTTGAGACCTCGTTCAACAACGCACTGGTGGTACTCTGTAGGCAGGTCCGATCCGTTGAACGATATGGTCCGATTTGCCTCAACAACTTGGACCAATCGACCCCCAGGAGCTCCGGGTGCTCGGTTTTCCCCAGCAAAAGGTCCGACACCGATCGTCCAGATGAAGTGGCACCTACACAATACCTGTACCTGTGACATTATCAGCCATGCGCAAAATATGTTCATCCTAAGATCCCAAGTGGATTTTGGTTAAGGTGGGGAGAAATCGCGAGTAGCGGTAGCTTTTGCCGCTTCCAGTGAAATTTCTACTAAACCCCTTGTTGTCCGATGGGTCCTACGAATGATGGATGGTAGCAACCTGCCAGACCCGAGGCGTACATGCCACAATGCCGTCGGCTCCTTGTTCTTCCTGCCTCCAGCTTTTCTGTCGCACCTGCTCATTCTATAGGTAGATCGTTCAACGCGACCGCACATCGCCCCTGCTGTCACGTCCCGCCCATGCTCGACACCATCTCAGGATGACCGGTTCGAGTTCCCGTTTATTGCAGTGTGCCTCTCCTACGGCGAGGGGTGCGATTGGTCAGATGAAGGCGTGGAAACGTGCGTGGATTACGCGCTGAATTATTCAACCGTTTATGATCATAACAACGAAGAAGTTGACCTTGTCATTGAAACCAAGGTACGTTCGTTTTCCAACCAGCAGGAAATATTGTATTCCACAACGGTGTAGCCTATAAAATACTCAGTGTTTCCGATGTCGAGGGTGATGGTTGCAATGCGTCTGTATTCGGCGGAAGTTGCACTGACATATTTCCAGTAAGGCTCTTAGTCTTCGAGTTTGAGTCTTCCAGTTTGGAATCATATGCGTGCTGCACACATTGGTCCCCTCTCCTGTATTCATTTTTCAGGGGTATTTATCCTCTTCAAAAAATGTGTACATCCTTATTCGTGGATGATTTGAAACGAAACTCCGTGTCGTACCATTTTCGTGTCACCTAGGAAAACTATTCCTTGATCCATTAGTTGGGGGCCATCTCATGCCTGGTGCCAAACCAGCACAGTCCGTTCAGAGAAACTTTCAGCGACAAAGATACATCTGTAAAAAACACCACCCGAGAGCAACCTGTCGAAACAAGCAGGTGCTCCAACCAAATTCTACATCATCGACTAGTACTACATATGTGGATGTATGCTTGCACTATTTCTTGTGAGGCGGTCCTATTTCGAGTTTCCTTTCCAGGGCATTGAAATTTGTCTTCTGCAGCAAGAGCGTTGGCATTCAGACCCTCCGAGGATTGTCGGGGAGCCTGTCCTGTACGCGCGCGTGCAGCTCTGCGTTGAGAATGTCAGTTTCCCGGACTCCCACACGCATTGTGTTACAAGCCTCAAAGAGGCTTGAGGGCCGGGGAGAGGGCTGTCTCTCATCTATCGTGTCTTGTTTATGTAACTTGGACGCCCGAAGCGACGCCAGTCCCCCCGAGTGCTCGGAATGGATTTGAGATACGACTTGTTCTATATTTATTCATCTCCCGCCCACTGCCTCCCCGAATGACTGTTTTTAGCATGACGAGTGTGTCGGGTTTGACCTCACCAAGCTGGATGTCGATGGTGTACCGTCTTCCGATCTACGGGCTACTATCTCGGTAAGTTCGTCGAAGAGTAGGAAGTGTGTCGCACTTTCTGTGGCGTGGCACTAACCCTTACTGCAATTCATGCGGTGCAGTATTCAGGCTTTGTTCTAGGCGCGGTTTGAGCGGGGTTACCGGTATACTTCCTCAGAAGTCTGGCGAACAAGGTTGAACCAGTCGTTGTTCTGGGCCAAGTGACGTTGTTCTCTCAATCGTTGTGTGCCGATCAGCGAGTGGCTACTTGACGCCCTCACGTGTTGGCGGCCTACTGTATGAAGTTTGGCACTTTTCTCCATCATCCCCGTCCCTCTTCCGTCCTTTCACCCTCATGTATTGTTTCCTTAGATGAACTGGCTAGCATCTGACACGGCAGACACCGCCACCATCTACACGTGAGCTGCTTCCTGTGGGTTCGGCGTTCGCCGTGCGGGGCGATGCTTTGGTCCTGTAGCACGAATTATTCCTTTGGCGTATTTACGTGTTTCAGGGCCTCATGCGGCGTTTCCTGCGTTCTACTTGGGCATCGCTTGTCCTATGTATTACTAGCATAGTCCGTCTGCGGGTGGAACAGTAGGCCAATCGATCAACAGTCCCCGGCAGTTGGATGCACAAATGCGCATCCAGATGAGCGTGTAGTGTGTGAAATCCTTGCCTTCTGGTGCTTCGAGAATTCATACATACCATCATTCGCTCCAAGCACTTTGGCCCTTTAAGGTATCCGAAACTCAAAGGGCCGTCAATATGCCTTTGTTCGTGAGGTTGTTTGGATTTTCGTTTGGATTGGATGCTTCGCCCGGGGTTGGGTTTTGGATTTTGTTCTGTGTTCATGTTTGGAGCAGTCGGAATTTCCTATCTTTGATTGAGCTGAGAAGGAAAACAGGGTAAGGAAAATTGTTGAATGTTGTGTTTGCGCTTGTGCAGTGTTTTTTTTTACCGAATTTACCACGATGATGGTGAAATTCACGTGGCGAAAATATGTAGCGTTGGATGAGTATTTGTTGGCATCGAAAGATTGTTTGCGGGAAATATGTGCGGTCAGGTTCAACAAATTTCAGTATAGTGGGTGTTTTACATCTTGCATGTTGAGTGCAGGTTATATTGAAGCTATGTATCTGCAATCAATGCCGAAGAGCAAGAAATGACTTATCATCAATCGAAGCTTTCTGCTTGGAAATTGGGAACTCTGAAAGGAATACTGGTCGTAATCTAACCACCAATACCCACGCAATCACTCCCTCAGCGAACAAGTCGCGGTCACTGCTTCTGCTTCCGACGATCTACCCGAAGTGGAAGATATTTCCTTCGTGTACGTGCCCTACGACCGCTACACAACCGCCGACCCCATCGACGAACTAAATACGGTAGACCTGGTGAGTCACGGAGCGACGAGGCTATGACACGGACTGGGTCGAGATTCTTGCAAGACACACAGAATAAGATTGATATTTGTATCTTTGTACATGATCAAACATACGTGTTGACTTACTGTCGTCGGCTCGTGTTCCTTTCTCATCTGCCGCACTGTTTCCTGGTTGTGCCAGACAATCGGGAAGACCACCAAGAAGATGCTCGATGGCAGCAGTACGACCGTGTTTCCTGCCCTCACCATCAGTACGACCACAACTGTCATCCAAGAGACCGTGAGCGAAACAACGCGTTCACGCTGACTCGGTTGGTCTGGGGGGTAGGATTGGTTCGCAACGGACGCCCCCCCTGATCCCTACCTCTCCCATGCATATGTAGACAGACTTGTGCATTTTCCCGGTACCCGGTGCGGTCTCACTTGCACACGTCATCTACCACCCGCTTGTCCACGTCTCCTGCCGACACTCTATCGATCCCATGTTGTTCAGGGCTCACATACAGGTGAGCACTACGCTAGTGTTCCGAAATACCTTCTGGTTTACGTCGCACGTGCGCTTTGCTGTGCAAGCCGCTTCACGTTTGTCTCCTGCCGCCTCATCATACATCCTTTTCCCCGCCTTCCCGCTCTGTTACCATACTACTGTACCGTCTCAGTCTTTGCCAAGCTCGACCTATGCCGAATACGCGTTGGGCTACCTTAAGCTAATGGTGCGGCAGGGCCCTTTTTCTCTTACATCGGTAGAGGAAGTCAGGTGGGTGGACCGCCCACGAAGACCAAGGCAACCTACTTTTACTAGACTATTAATTAATGTGCAGTTGTTTCACGTTAACCCTATGTGGGTCTAGCTATTATTTTTTTTTCGGCGTAAACACAAAACGGAGAGAGTACGGGAGAGAGAGACAGAGGTGCAGCAAAAAGAGACAAGTGTACTTCTGTAGACGCAACAGCAATCTCCGGCCATGAGGGCTGCCCGCGACAGGATGGTGGGCACAGACAGGGTCATAGAAGGGTTGATGCGTGGTAGCAGTGCGGCCGGTAGCGCAGGTTAGCCTTGTAGACCCCGAAAAGACCAGTCGTCAAGCCGCCTAAACTACTCTTATCTTTAGTATATTCAAATTTTCAGTGAAAATGGTCAGTGAGAGGGCTTATAGACCCATAGCTGGTTCTTGTACTTCTGTACTTCTCTGTCCCCTCCCCAATGTGAGCCCTGCCGGCTCACTACATACAGCTCCTGTGATTTTCCCACAATTCCCACAAGCACGCAGGCACACCAGTACACACCTACCTTTGCATCAGTGGCTCTCTAGGTTCTGGCAAGGTTATGTGGGGCTATGTTTTTTTTTTTTTCTCCCATCGTTGGACTCTGTCGTCTGCCCCTCTGGCCCTTATCCTCCACTTCTAACAGCTAGACGACCCAACCGGGGTCACAAAGGAGGGGGGGGCTGGACCCCCTCCTGCGGTTCCTGCCTGAGGTATTTTAATCGCGAGGAGGGTACAGCAATCCCTTCCCTCGCGACTTACGAAGTCGATTATGGTTTACTAACAAACGAGCTTTGCAGCGCGTCGCTTTCATCCTAGACCAGGATTTATTGATGATGGTGCATGTATGTGTTACAACTATGTGGACTCGTCTATGCTGCTGCTGCTGCTGCTACTGTGTAGTATGCATACAGCTGCTGACACGATGACTGCTGGATCTTGGGAGTGTACGATTTTGATATTTGGAGAACATGTACATGCAGCATACACCACGATATCCTGGTTGGGCTTGAATTGACCCTTTCTGCTTCCTCCGTTCATTGCTTGAGTGGCTTCCTAGATTCAGGCGAGGTCATGTATGTGGAGCGATTGATGTGTCTCTGTGAAGGGATATGAGTTGAGATTCGTCGTGGCATTCGCATTGAGCCCATTGTGCATTTTTCGAATTTTGGTACCGTTCCAGGGACCTTGAGTTTACCTGCTGGCACATAAGTATTTTCATCGGTCACCGGTTGGCGCGGTCGATCCTAATAATTTAGACATATCTACCTATGTAAATGCCTACGCCTGGCGTGGAGGGATACAGGGGGGCAACTCCATGGCATGCCACCACATGAGCATTTGCAAATGATCAATCAACGATCTTGTCAGGACGCCTGTAGACCGAAAAGGGTTACGATTTGTGTTGAGCACCAGCACGCCCACCAGCTGAAAACACATACACACTCAAGCAGCACATCACGTGTTCGACTAACCGCCGCCTTACCCCTATGAAATTTTCGACATGATGGACACGGGAATCTACGGGGGCACAGCAATAGTTCTCGCTTTTCTTGCTGCCTTTTGTCGGGGGAGAACGAACTCCGCTGAAATCATATCAGCTTGAAAAAGCCTCCCTTTCACCACCCTGCACGTTCGATGTCGTCGCTTCTCAAGTCGTCCGTTCGTTCGTGGTGTCTTTTTTTGTTTTGTCTGTATAGTCCACTGGATGTGGGCTCCTTTTTCGGCAACCTCGGGGGCTTTTGGGGTAAGTAGGCCTGAAATAGAGTATATATCAGCGCCACGGTGGTTCTCGATAGCCTTTGAAAACTCAGTTGTAGTTAAGTATCTCCGCACGGGGAAGCAAGTTTTCACTTGAAGCTGTCACAAGGCTCCAACCAGGTGGATGGCAAACTACCCTGCCCCCGACTTTCTTTGCTCCACGCGGTAGTGTCATGGAATCGATCGGAAAGAACATCCATCCGCGATGGGAGTCCTCTCCCAAAGCAGTGTGCGTTGGCGTTAACGTTCATTTCCCTTCCCTCGCCTTTCAGAGCTGCTGCTTGTTCTGTGGGGACTGTTGTTCTTCGCAACCAGACAAGACCGCACACCCCAGCTGAGGGCGCGAAACTTCATCCAGCCCCTGAAGGAAATCGTCGCGAGGCGCCGAAGCCTCTCAGTTGACTCTGGTGCCTCGATCGTACAGCCGGAAGAGCTGCCACAGGAGAGGTCGTTTTTCGGAGGCAATCACCCCCCCGCTCTCCCCCCCCGTCCCCGCGGCGGTAACACGATGCCAGGAGGGAGGTCTACCGCTGTTGGTGTTTCGACGATGTCCCCGGTAATCGATCATACGAATGAATCCATCACCACCTGAACGTGAAGGAGCTGCCTTTGTGGTGCTTAGACTACAGGAGGAATTCGCGATTGTATTACGATTTGTCCGTGTGTTCGTGCTAGGAAGTAGAACACCTGGGGTAAAATAGATTTAGGACGTTCTCTTGTCGCCGTCGAAACTCCCCGACCGTTCTATTGGACGATGTGAGCGCTCAGGTTACGGCCCTTTGCTTCTTTTTGTTCCGTCCCAACACGCCACGCTATCGCCCTCTCCACCGTCTCACGGTGAAACTCTTGCGTGCATCACCCACCAGGCTACTTTGTCATCGCCAGTCAGCTCCCAACGGCCTGTGGTGGAAGACGTGCCCAGGCGTGGCTGGAGGATCGGCCGCCGTCAGTCGAGAGGCCTAGAACCGCCCCCATCCAGCACCGCAATGACCAGTACCGTTTGAAGTGGCATGGGTCTGAGAATCAACCTGAGCCTCTTCGTTTCCTTCCCCTGCTGTGAAAAAGGAGGTGTTGCAGCGCATGGACTGCGGCAAGCGCGTCTATCGGTACTAGCCTGGATGGATTAGGTAGAGGATCTGTCGTCGTTTTGCTTCTGTCCCAAAGTTCATCTGGATCCGGTGGTGAGAGGTCGGAGCGAGGTGGAGGTCGCCAGGCGTTGGGAGTTTTGTATAGGGAGTTGTGTAAAATGTTGTTCAAGAAGTTGTGTCAGGCCAAACACACGCAGCGCGGTGTGTATCGGAGAACGGATTGTCGTGCTCGCGGGGACGTGTGATTGATGAACGTGCGTGTTGACCGAGAAGGTCAAGAACCACACGCGCATTTCAGCGCCACCTCCCGCGGTGCGCGGGACGTCTGGAATCACATGCCCGTCAAGCTTCGCCTAGAGGTCAAGAGCGGGGTTCGCTCAGGGTGTCAAAACATGTCGGATGGGTTATGGAGTCGCTGTTGGTGTTGCATGGCGTCGCGCGAATTCGACTCAATTTTAAGTGGGAGAGTTGCGTTGGAAGTGCTGTGAGACGTTGGGAAACGGGGTAGATCCAAACCAAAAGCCAAGTCTACTTGGATTGTTTGTCTTCCAGTGCGGTAACTCCACATTTAAGGAAGTCAAACGGATCAACCAACACGTCTAATGTGGGGGCTTACCAAACAGACTCAAATGAAGTCCGGTCGTTCAACCCCACAGGGAAAAGGCTTCAACACACCTCCAGCGAAAAAAGGCGAGGTGGATTTTCTGTCTTGTTGTGTAGCGTGTATTTGCTGAAACCGCGACGAAGGGGTTGCTCAAACAGAGCAAACCGTGACTTCGAAGAAGAGGAGGCCGAACCGTCAACTTCGTGAAAAGGAGGGGTCAGCATATGATTTGGTTTCAATGCTGATCTGGGTTGTTGTCTACAAATCATCGTCTTCTTGGGAGGCAGTCGCAGGGACTGGACATCATCGACATCCCCTTGTATCTAGAACGAAAAGGCCGCCCACGAGTAAAATCAAGCTGATGTACCGTCGTCCGTCCAGAACGAAAAATCCACCCCCGAACGAAGAATGGTAGAAACCATGTATATATACTCCTGAGCACCGTGGTACAGCCAACTAAGGTTGGTTGCCGAAATGTGTCCGGTTGACAAACAACGGCGTTCCCCGTTGCGCACGCAATCAACCCAGACCTCACCTTACACTAAGAGCGACAGGACCAAAATGGTCAGCAGTGAAATTGCAACCGAACGGTGGGGGAAAATGGCAGTGTTGGGCTACACAAAATACACATCGAACCAACCACCACTCCACCACGACGATCTCGCGGAAAAGACAACAACAAACAACGACAAGAGGCACGCTAATACTGCTGTTCACACCACCGAGAGCAAACTACAGCTCGATCTCCTCGAAAACCGGAACCTGCGTCTCCTCCTCCGCACCAGGCCCGTTCGCGACCACAACGCTGCCACCACCCCCCTGCTCGCTGCTGCTCCCTAGAGGACCCTTCTGGAAACCGTTCTGACCGCCGTTCCCAATACCGTTCTCCGGGCCGTGGTCGGAAAATACGACGGACTGGGTATCCTCCCCCGCAGACACTCCCTCCACCTCGGCTTCGAACACAAGCGGTGACGGACCATCCCCTGCACTACCTCTGCCCATCTCCCGAGAAAATTCCGTTTCAGCGGCAGACTCTTTCAAACCACGCGTGGAGTCGTCCGCGTCGGAACCGCTCGAGGTCCCGGCTGCGCCCTTGGATGAAAGGGTAACGGTTACGCGGCCCTGCTGACGAACCCCCGCTGCCTCTGACGGCATGAGTCCTTCCTCGTCGGCTTCCAGCACAGCAGGCTCACCCCGCCCGATATCGCCCACTTCTTCCTGGCTCGGGTCTAGACTCCCCCGCTCGATGCCCGCTCCCAACACAACGCCGCCGTCTTGCTCCCCCTCCTCCCGAACGCCGCTCGCGACGCTAGGCTCCACGACTGCGTCAAGGGCGGGCTTCTCGCTCTTGTCCTCCTCCTCCACTTCCTGCCCCGTCTTCACATCGTCAGACACATCCCCCGGGGCGCTGTCCGCAGCAGGCACGCCGTCACTACAAGATGTAGCTGTCACATCGTCGGCAAGCTGTTCCCTTTGCCCCTCTCCGCCCTCAACAGAGCCCCTTGCGCCAAAGGCAGGCACCCCTTCCAAAGGCATCACACCCGCACCATCATCCAGGTCCGGCACCACGCCTGCACCATTGTCGTCGACTTCGAGACTCCCTGCTTCGGTAGGCGGCAATAACACCAACGCCGTCTTCTCCGCCGAGTCTGGCGACGAGCCACTCACCCTAGTCTCCGGCGACGGAGAATAGGTCAGTGCCGCTTCGGAGGACGGCAACGGCGACCCCGCCCGCTGCTCATCGGCGGAGTCCTCCGCACCGATGCTGCCCTCCCCTAGCGCCTTCTGCACGACTCCGAGCGCACCGGAGCTCCGCTCTTCGTCGGGCAGACTGGCTTCTTCCTCCTCCTCCATCGGCGTCTCCCCCGCCACACGCGTCGCATCCGCCGACTCAGGGGCGTCGTGCCTCTTGGGAGACAGCTCCCGTTTGTCCGGGGTGATCTCAAGGCCGTCGATGCCGATGAGGTCTCCACCCACGCCCTCCTTCCCTTCTCTCCCCGACAGCGTTGCCTCCGGCGACTCGGAGGCACCTCCCGTCTTTGGAGATGCCCCGCGCTTGTCGGGGGCCTCCTCGAGGAGGCATTTCGTGTTCCCGACGCCGAGGGCGGCGTTCGTCCCCGCGATGAGCCAGTCCACCTGTTTTCATTTTGTTGTCAAGACCCGCAGCGTCGAGTTTAGGAAAATAGCGCACGCATTTGAACTCGCAGAAAAACACGAGCGCCAAAAAGCAGGTTACTTGATCAGCCGGTTCGAGTGGCCGATGCTAAATGAAGATTTTCACACACATACACTAAGGTTAAAAGACGTCGTAGCTAGTACATACATACATCCTTACGGAGGAACGTTCCTCTAGGCGTCATGGCACCGGGCGCATCGCCGGCAACGGCTAGACTCGGCATCGACCGAAGAATAACGACACATGTACGTGCGGACCAGCCGAGAACGGGAACAAGCAAACAACAAGCCCTCCCTCCCCTCACCTCCGCGAGAAGCATGTCGGCCGAGGCCGGGTCGTCTTCCTCCTCCGCTCCCGGAGCAGCAGGCACGACGGACGCTCGACGGGCGGCGGCCAGCTCCGGCGGTGGCGTCGTCGCCGACCCAAACCGGCTGCCGCGCCAGTCGCGCTCGTTCGGGAAAAACGCCCTGTCAGAGTGGGAACTCCCGCCCCCTTCCCCGTCTAGGGGCGGGGGCGTGCGCAGGCTCAGTCGCGACGACGGGCCGCTTCGCGAGTCCACGGCACCGGTGCTCTGGCGCTTGAACCCTCGGACGCTGCGGGAAGGAGCGCTGCCCCCCGCCCCCGCCCCCGCCGCCGCGCCGTTCTCATGGGGGCCGTTCGGGGCTAACGAGGGCATGCCCGTGAGGGCCTCCTCCGACTCTTGCACGAGGCCGTCGATGCTGCTCAGGAGGTCGCGCACTCGCTGCGTCTGGGTGCGGCGATGGCCGTTCTCGGGCGACGGCGATCGAGACGAGTCCGGTCTCGGGCTGCTCGGGGAAGGGCTTTTCTCGTCAAGGTTGGCGGAAGCGCTGCGGTTGCCGCCGGCTATCTGCAAGCCAGGCCCTCCCGCTGCCGAGCCGGGCGAGCCGCAGTCGCTGTCCATCGCTGCCACCCCTGAAAGACAGAGATAATATAGATCAAAAGGAAGTCAACGGAGGAGCGTCCGCGTGGTTTGTGTGATATCAATCAAAAGTCTTGCCCTTAGGATGCCTGTGGGCAAGTATAGAATGCCAACTAAAATACTGTGAGAGTCCAAATTTCTGGCAACACCCCAACGTCGTGTCATCCATACCTCACATCATATGAACATGGGCCCTTGTTCGCGCGCATTGGACCGCGAGGTGCGTCGTAATCGAGACGTCAACCGTAAAACCATGCATATCATGTACCCCGTAAACTAAGAAAAAAAATATGGGAAAAAATCATCTCTCGGTGCAAGAAGCGTACAACAGTAAATTAAAAACAGGTGCGGTCGGCTCCATCAAATGCATCTACTAAACAGTGTACAGCGTACATGGCGCCCAAGCCACTGCTGACTGCTGTGAAAGCACGTGGTAGAGTCGGCGCCGCAAGCCAAGCTATGGACAGCTGTGTCTGCCGAACAACACCCAAGAGTAACTACACTAGCCGGGGTGCAGCCTACACTCATGCGTGCGCTCTCACGTTTACGCGGTCCGTGTGACGGGCTCCCTCGTGCCGATGACTCGGACGAGGATCGCTGGCAATCGTGCCCTCCCAAAGACCGTAGCCCCGCCACGTCGGCGATCTCTTCCAAAATCTGGAGGGGACAGCAGCAGCAGCAGCAGCAGCAGCAGCAGCAGCAGCAGCAGCAGGGCGGCGGCGTTAACGTCACGAGAAAGCAAGGTCGTGCATCGACACGTAGTTGTCGTTGCCCGTCAGTCTTCCCCCGGGAGGAGGATCGGCGAGTTACCTTGAAGGACCGCTCAAAAACGACGCAGTGGAAAGAGCGAGCAGGCGTTTTCGATCAAAATTCGGCGTGTACTCGTACGAACCTCGCACACACACCACACACACCACACACATTCTGCATGGAGACATCACCCAGTACAAGACTCGGGTGTCACGGACGTGCGTATACAACCAAAACGACACACACCCAAGGAATGGAGCGTGTCTATCCTTCTTCGCCGCCTAAACAAACCCCCCGGACCGCCCCAACAAGCCGAAGACTTGGCCGAGTCGCACACACCTGGTCCTTCCGCAGCTGAAGCAGCCGCTTGTACCCGGAACCCGGCGACAGCAGCAGCTCCACCGTCATGAAGATGAACCCCGAGCGGCGCCCGTCCTGGATGGTGTCGGCGCAAAGGTCATCGAACAGCTCGTTCTCCACATCGCCCGCCTCGCAGATATCATCCAGCATCCGAAACAGCTCCAGCTGCACCGCGGCCACCAGCATCTTCCCGAGCTCCCGCTCGCGGTCTGGGGTAAGCTTGTCCGCCCTGTTGGGAGGGGGGGNNGGGGGGGGGGGGGGGGGGGGGGGGGGGGGGGGGGGGGGGGGGGCAGCTTCAGACGCAACACCCGAAGGATTCTCGGCTACTGTTGAGGCCAGAAAAATATTCCGATGTCGTCCTCTCTGTCTGTTGTCCGTGTTTCTCTCGCGAACTCGACAGTTGCATATTCAATGAACCCGGAGCAGATATGGCGCTTGAGACACCTTGATAAACCAAGACACGGGGACCCCTACCTCCACCTCAATCCTACTATACTGTCGAGTACCCTATTCACTTGTGGAGACGGAAAACTAAAATGTGGTCGCATCTCCTCAAAGTCTGTCGAGGGGGATTGATTCCCCCTCTTCGCTTCGGCGTCGACAAAAAAGGGATGTCTCATTTTGGTGGTACAAGAACCAGGTTCGATTCCGCCTCCCACGTTCAAACGGTTGGGGACCGAATTAAACGAATCTAAGCTGCCTGACACAAGGTATGCTGGAAGCACAGGATCCTTCTTGTTTTCT